GGTTCTTTCGGTAAAGTCACGTAGAAGGGAAATAATAAAATAAAATAAAACATAATAAGAATGATGAGAATTATTTTATTGTGTTTTTTGTATTATTTCCCTTCTACGTGACTTTACCGAAAGAACCAAGGAGATGAATCCCTGCAGTCACGAAAGCTTTAAATCGAAATATGTTAAACTATCTATATAAAAAATATATTACATATATCATCTCATAATTACAAGTTTAACACGGAGTCTTTCGCCACCAATATTATCCATAATGAAGGGGTTTTTTGGGTTACATTGCGTAAGTATGAATGTGTCAGACGCTGTCTCCCCGACAGACCTGGTCTTCGTTGTGGCCGAAACGTCGTGAGAATTATTTTATTATGTTTTATTTTTATTATTTTATTACTTCCCTTCTACGTGACTTTACCGAAAGAACCAATAAGAAGAAAAATATGAATGTGTCGTTAACTCACCACCACTCGACACAGCCAATTAGTAAGGTTTGTCACGTAAACAAAATAATTATGGCAAATCGCCTGATGAAACTGGCTGTACTCACGAACGAAACGTCCCAGTGCTCAAATTGTAAATGTTGCGGGTTTACTCTCCAGCACACGGGCGTGCTGAAGTAGTCACGAACTGGCACGTTTTGTTCACGTGACAAACTCTACACTCATTGGTTTGTGCCGGGTGGTGGTGGGTTGACGACACATGTATAATAATTGTTTTTTTACCCTTATATCTGGCCACAAAACTGACACCTTTTTCACAAGGAGTCATGTTTGCATAGCCGCAATAAGTCTCACATGGGTCCAACCCATGTGAGACTAGGCTCTAAGGAAAGCTGTCTCGGGTGTGGACCAATCAACTTCAAGGACAGTGCACATTATCAGAGTTATGTGTTTTGTGTGGATTAAAACTGCAGGTATTGTGGTCTATGCAAACATGACTCCTTGTAAAAAAGGTGTCAGTTTTGTTGCCAGATAGAAGGGAAAAAAAACCAATTATCATATTTTTTACTGGCAAATGAGGTTCCAATGGTGACACATGTATACTTACGCGATCTAACCCTAAACTAACCCTGTATTCATGTTCTTGGTTCTTTCGGTAAAGTCACGTAGAGTGGAAATAATAAAATAATAAAAATAAAACATAATAAAATAATTCTCACGACGTTTCGGCCACAACGCAAGCAGCCGTGCTCGGACGCTGTCTTTCTGACAGACCTGTTCTTCACCTGAGGACGGCTGCTTGCATTGTGGCCGAAACGTCGTGAGAATTATTTAATGTTTTATTTTTATTATTTTATTATTTCCAATCTATGTGACTTTACCGAAAGAACCAAGAAGATGAATCCCTGCAGTCACGAAAGTTTTACATCGAGACACGTGTATACTTACGCGATCTAACCCGAAACAAACCCTCTATTATGGATCACGATTCCAACAAACACGTTCTGTGCCATTCGTCGTCGTCGCGTGGAAGGGCAGGTGTATGAAGAAGCTCCATCGCCTGCTCGTCTATTGTAAAGCAACAACATCAACACCGATTGCTTGATCTACCAGCCGCGAACCATCCACTGTTACAGCAACGACAAAGAGATCCCCCGTATAGCCTTAACAGACTCTAGGGGCAAGTGCTGTTAGCGAGCACCACCTATGAAGGCCGGAACGGTACACGAGGGGGTGGGTGGCCAGCACCACGCCCGACCGCCTTTATCTCCCAATTGGCGATATTTACACACCGCACCGAGTACTTATTTGAGGCTGAGTCGACCTAGGGAGGGCCCAGGACCGGTTCAAATATTCGTCACTGGGTGTTGGCCGTGAGCGGGGGATCATAGCGCAGTGTAGCGCTAACCGCTACACTACAACAACAACAACCGCCTTTCGCCACCAAGCGGTGACGTCACCACGCCGCTTGTGCCAGGCTATGTGCACCTTGAGGCCACGTGAAGTGTCGAACGCCCGCTGGCAGGAGGTCACGGGGCAGACCCAGCAGGTGCAACGGATCGACTGAGATGACTGAGATGACTGGCTGATGCACCCACCTGTTCCCCCTACTGTGCCATACATACACACACACGCGCACAGCACACACACACACACGTGCACAGTACACGCACACATGCACACGTACATACACACACACACATGCACACGTACATACACACATACATGCACACGTACATACACACACACATACATGCGAGTGTACATACATGCACACGTACATACACACACACACATGCACATACACACATACATGCACACGTACATATATACACTCACACATGCACACATACATACATGCACACGTACATACACACACAGACATGCACATACACACACACATGCACACGTACATACACACACACACACGTGCACACATACACACACACATGCACACGTACACACACACATACATGCACACGTACATACATACACACACTCACACATGCGCACAGTACATACACACCTGGTCACTGCCTCTCGGTGGGACGACCTAACTGAGCTCCCACACGCGTTGAGCCTCGAAGCGAATTACAGCACACGTGGTGAGTGGCACGAGAGGCTGAAGCAACGTGGCCCTAATTCCGCGGGTGTCAAGTTGCGTTGGATGATGGAGTCACTTATCATAATTACTTCCAATTTCCATTGCCCCCGAAAAGCCTCCACCCCCCCCCCCACACACCCCCCCAAACACTTTAACAGCGACCTCCCATCCTTCCCTCGCCAACGTAGCACCCGTCCCACCGCCACCAAACCTCATCATCATCATCCCTTCCAGAGCCAAGCGCCAGGTCTCATCCAGTTCACCCAAGACGTCCTCACGAAAGGGATTATCCAGAATCAGCGCGACCCAGATGTCCGACGCCGCCGCCACGCCTCAAGGATTCGCCTCGCTCGGAGGCTGTCACCTGAAACAGCCACTGACACCGTCTTCCTGGAGAGAAGAAACGAAAGTGAAGTACTTCATCAGAACCCAGATTTGAGCGGCGGAGTTAGGTGGCCGGAAATCGATTTGTCGAGGGTCTTCGAGCGATACCAATTCAGCATTGAATGACTTCTTCAATGGAGGAGGAACTGCAACAACGAAACGCGCGCGCTCTCTCTATCTCTCCCGAAGTCCTCCCGTCGAAACGAGCAGTACATTTTATCGACGTATATATGCCGTGTTCTACCCCTTAGTTCTGGTTGACCCTGCGTGACCACGGCCATCCCCTTGGTGGCGAAATGTTAATGACCTCGCCTGGCATGCGAGAGGTCCGTGGGTTCGATCCCGACCCTGAAGTCGACATATTTGGAGTTTGCATGTCCTCCCCGTGGTCGCGTGGATCTTTCTCTGGGTCCTCCGGTTTTCCCATCGACATCTAGAAACGTGCGTTTAGAGTTTTTGTCTGCTCTAAAGTTCCACGTGAGCTGTCAGTTGTGGTCAAGTCGCTTCTGAGACAGAGCTGTGTAGCTTCAGTCGGCCTTACCTGGTAACATAAAAAATCAACCCGTAAAAACAAAGTTTTTTTTACTATAAATCCTTTATATGCCTGGCGGCTAGAGTCCTCTCGTCTTCTGGCTTGAGATGGCTGCCACCTATTGGTCAGATGATTACCTGCCACCATTAAGCAATTGGTAATTAAATATAATTTTTTTTCCTAAAAGTGTAACATTTTGGAAATTTGTTTCACGATTGTCACGCACAACGAGTCTGTGTGCAAAATGTCAGCTCGATTGGATCACGGGAAGTGGGTTAAAAAACGACCGAAAGATTTGCACGGTCCTAAGCGCGCAAGCGCGCAAGCAAGTGAACTTAATATAAAGAATTAAAAAAAAAATAGTTGGTAACAGTAAATCGTCTGTAATATTCTCTTCTCCATATTTGGCTGCGAAGTGGCGGATGTATCCTACCTAAAACTATTTCAACTAATTTCCAAAAGAGAGTTCATGCCTCGTGCATTGATGTGAATGTTAGTCAGTTTCAACGTGTGTTCATACAAATTAAATAACTCCACGCGATGTGTCAAAATAAATATATGTGTAATAATTCTAGATTTGAAGCTTTCGTGACTGCAAGGATTCATAGTCACGTAGGTAAAAAATAAAAATTAATAAAAGTAAAATAAAAATAAAATTTTAAATTAAAATAAAAATCACGACGTCACATCATGATAGCTGTATCAAGTAAGTTACTTGATACAGCTATCGTGCTGTGACGGTTCCACCTGAAGACGGAGGCTTGTGTTGCCTCCGAAACGTCGTGATTTTAATTTTATTTTTATTTTACTTTCATTAATTTTAATTTTTAATTTTTACCAACGTGACTTTACCGAAAAAACCTAAGAATATGTGTAATAACCCTATGTGTCCTGACTTATGGGCCACTCTGTATATACAATATTCCAAAAAGAAAAACTTTTATTTAACCAGGTAAGGCCCACTTGAGCTGCATAGTTATTTTTCAGAGCGACCTGTTTTTGTGCGTGTGAGTGTATCAGCACCACGTGGGGGAGCGGTGGCGCAGTGGTTAGCGCGCCGCCCCACGAATTTGGCGACCCAGGTTCGATTCCCGTTCACGGCCACTAGTACCAGCGACGATGATCTGAACCGGTCCTGGCCCTCCCCTAGATCGACTCAGCCTCAGGGAAGACAAAGGCGACCAGGGCGTAATTGCTGGCATCATCGGATGTCGCCCTTGCACATCTGGCCACACAGGTTGGGGGAACGAAATAAAATTAAGGTCGCGCTTAAACAATCCACCACCAACAACCAACACACACACACACGTAACCCCCCCCCCCCCAGCCACCTATCTCCGTTTAGACAAAAATAAATAAATAAGCAATTATATCAAATTAAGACTCCGGGCTTCCAGGGCTTAGGCGGCGAGATTGAGGTCGTCTTTCTTTCTGCTAACGAAAAAAAAGTCTTCTCATCTCTGCTGCTCGAGTCTATATAAGCGGGTGGTGGACGAGCACTACTTCTTTGGGTGATACAAAAATCCACGAACGCAAACTACCATCATCACCACCACCGCCACCACCACCACCAACAACAAGAACAACAGCAGCAGCAGCCATCACACCTGAGGGGGGCTTGGGAATCGAACCGCGAATTGCACTCCAGAGATCTTGAAATTGGTTTCAGAAGGGAAATATTTCAAACAAAATCTTTTTTTTAACTAAAGCGTTGTTTTTTTTTGCTTCTTCTTTTCTGTGGTAACATTTTTTTTTATGTATAAAGGTATTTATTGTGATCATAAATAGTGGAAATTTCGTTCAAGTGAGATGGAGTAGTTGCTCCAGCATAGTGCGTGTCAGTGCATAATCAAAGTTGTAATATTTACTTTAAAGAATTCAACATTATATAACGCGAGGCAAAAAATTAACGCAGTAAAGAATTTACAAACACCTCGTAGGTTCACTAAATAATTTACTCGTGAGAATTTGAGGCGAATCGTTGGCAGTAAATGAACACGAAACAAAACAAAACACATTTAGCGGGTTTATTTCGTTGTCGTGTTTCGTTTCAGTGAAGTGCATTCAAAATATTATTTTGGTGGGAATTTTTTTTTGACAACAACAACAACAACAACAAAAACAAAATGACGGCGTCCTGGCATGGGGCGGTGTTCGCGGCTCGCAGGCGCAACGATGACGAAGACACAACGAAGGATAGCATCTTTAGATACACGAACGAGAACAACACGAGAGGTGAGCAAACATCGTCGCCACCACGACGCCGCCAGCGTTTCTTGTCCTTCCGCACCCACCCCGCCACCGCACCTGCCGTTAGCGCTGTTGGTTACGTACGGTGCGAAGGAAGTTCAAAGCACGTATACATAAATCCTCGTTATCATCATTATCATCAGCGGCAGCAGCAGCAGCTATAACGGTACCAACACGGTCATAATTACCACCATCACCACTCGCATCATCACGAACAATTATCACCATCATCGCAGCTGTGATGTTATTCGACTCGCTTTAGGCAAGATGCATATTTACGACCCTCTCATCGTGTCCTCTCAAATGATCTTCACCCTTACCTTCGCGTCTCCTCACACCTCCTCGCTCCTGCCATGTCCCCCTTCTCCATTCCTCGCATCATCTCCTCGCCTAAGGCACCCTCGAAATGTTGTCTCCACTCAACAACAATATCATCATCATCACCACCACCACCTCATCTCCCCTCCTCTCACCTTCCTACACCTCCCCCACCCTCTACTCTGCCGCGTCTCCTCCCTCCTCTTCAGATCCCTTCGAAGGCCCCAACTATCATATCGCCCCTCGCTGGATGTTCAACCTCACGTCCGCGTGGATGGTCATCGTCGTCGTCCTCTCGCTGTTCACCAACGGCCTGGTGCTCGTGGCCACCATGAAGTTCAAGAAGCTGCGGCATCCGCTCAACTGGATCCTCGTCAACCTGGCCATTGCCGACATCCTAGAGACCATCTTCGCCTCCACCATCAGCGTGTGCAACCAGGTCTTCGGATACTTCATCCTGGGTCACCCGATGTGCGTCTTCGAGGGCTACGTTGTGTCCACTTGCGGTGAGTGGCGCCTGGAGCGCAGGTCCGAAAGTGCCAGGTAGCCAGCAAACGTCTGTGCAAAGATCTGGTCAAAGATCTGGGCAAAGATCTGGGAAAAGATTTGCACAAAGATCTGGGCAAAGATCTGGTCAAAGATCTGGGCAAAGATTTGTGCAAAGATCTGGGCAGAGATCTGGGCAAAAATCTGGGAAAAAATCTGGTCAAAGATTTGTGCAAAGATCTGGGCAAAGATCTGTGCAAAGATCTGGTCACAGATCTGGGAAAAGATTTGCGCAAAGATCTGAGCAAAGATCTGGGCAAAGATCTGGCACAAAGATCTGGGCAAAAATCTGGCACCAAGATCTGGGCAAAGATTTGTGCAAAGATCTGGGCAAAGATCTGTGCAAAGATCTGGGCAAAGATCTGTGCAAAGATCTGGGCAAAGATCTGGTCACAGATCTGGGCAAAGATCTGGGCAAAGATTTGGGCAAAGATCTGGGCAAAGATCTGGTCAAAGATTTGTGCAAAGATCTGGGCAAAGATCTGGGCAAAGATGTGACACAAAGATCTGCGCAATGGGGTGGGTGTCCAGGTTGTTTTTGTGTCGACAGTGGTGGAGATGTCCTCACCACTAAAAATGGTTGAAAATGTTAGGCCAATGCCGTCTTCTACTGATGATGATTGTCTGCTGTTGCTGATGATGATGATAACGGAGGTGCGTCTCAAGATGCCTGGTGCAGGCGACTGATAATAATGATGGTGGTGGTGGTGGTATGTCCGCTATAGATGATGTTGAGGATGCCCATGACGATGACGGCGATGATAACACTCTAGCGAGAGAGTGAGCGAGAGAGTGAGCGAGAAAGTGAGCGAGAGAGTGAGCGAGAGGCGGGGGTTTTACATAAAGATAAGTTTAAAAATGTAAAAAAAAATTTTTTACGAAATGATGAACGAAGCAAAGTGCCAAATACACCGAGCATCTTCTTGTTTCCACTGATCGTAAAAAAAAATAAACACTGCCGATGCTGCCGCTGAGTTCGACGACGATCCTGCTACCGATGGTTCCAGGCAACAATCAATAGCGCTGATTATATGTTTCTGATGTTGGTGACGACGGCGAATATTTCCTGTAATATTTACGATGACGACGGCTGATGATGCGATGGTGTCGCGTGCAGGCATTGCCGGTCTGTGGTCGCTAGCCATCATCTCGTGGGAGCGCTGGATGGTCGTCTGCAAACCCTTCGGCAACATCAAGTTCGACGGCAAAATTGCCATAATCCTCATCGTCTTCTCGTGGGTCTGGCCCGCGTGTTGGTGTTCGCTTCCCATATTCGGCTGGAGCAGGTATTAAGAGGGGGGACGCCGAGGGGAGGGGACCCACGTGACCAACATCTGTGCCTTGAATGTCAATCAGCGTCACGTAAATCACGTAACTCCTGTGTGCCCCCCCCCACCCCCGCCACTTAGAATATTTAATTTTGACCGGAGGAATCCGATGATCTATGAAGCTCTTTTGAGAGAGGTATCAAATCCCCGCCCCTCTCACCGCGGCCCGCTGTGGAAACGGACCCTGCTGCTCTATACATAATTTGGAGCTTTCGTGACTGCAGGAATTACTCTTTGGTTCTTTCGGTAAAGTGACGTATAAAGAGAAAATAATCAATTAAATACTAGCATACGACGTTTAGATTGCAACACAAGCAATCATCATCAGGTATAAATGAAATAGAAACACAAATCTAGTATACTCAGAAATGTAATGCAATACAACAGAGAGTCGGATAACATAACAGTCAACACCCTACCTGGTTGATTACGTTCTTCCTGAGAATGCTAAACCGTGCAGCAGCAGTAACCACTTCATCTCCTCACCTCTCCTCACCTCTCCTCACCCTCTCCTCACCCTCTGCTCCCGTTTCTCTATCATTCTTCTCTTATTTCCCGTTATTTTCCCATTCCTCTCTCATTTCCCATCCATTGCATCCTTGACTCCAGTGCCCCCTCCCTCCCTCTCCCAGTGCCGTGTGCCACGGACACACCAGTCGCTCGCACAGTAACTACAGAGACACAGCGCTCGCTCTCTCTCTCTCTCTCGTACTGCACGCAGCTTTTAGCAGACTGTTGGGGCAAGTGCTGTTGGCGAGCACCTGTGAATGCCGGCACGGCACACGAGACCAGCACCATCCCCGCGCGCCTTTGTCTCCCCAACCCCCCACTCCTGTAGTGACGTTCACACGCAGCACCGGTTACCCCTTGCGAGGCTAGGGGAAGGGCCCAAGAGCTGTTCAGACTATTCAGACTATTCAGACTATTCCGACTATTTAGTTTTCAGTTTCATGTATTAGGTGTAGCCCTGTGAGCCATTCGGTTCTTGAATCGGGTGCAACCGCAACAACAACAAAAACATGAACAAGAAAACATCTTAAAGTGACTATGTGACTATTTGCAAACAGAAAATCAGATAAAGCACCGTACACCAACGCTGTGTGCAAAAATCCCAGTGGGATGCAAGTCAAACAACAACAACAACTACAAGACAACTTAGATTAAGGCCATCAGTCTAACTCCGTACTACAACAAACAAACATGGCCAAACGTTTTCGAAATCACCCAAATAAAGCCATAAAAGCAACGTAACAATGATCATAGGAACTGTGACCGAATTTCCACAATAAACGTGTGTGCCACCAAAACCCTGCAGCCATAGCTGGCTGCATGAGTCACGTTGGCCGTGTGAGCGGGAATCGAACTCGGGTCGCCATGTGGGTGGGTGATGGGGGGGGGTGTTTGTATTGCAGTGCCGGCAATGCCTCCCCCAAGACCGCCCGCCCCTCAACCCCCCCCCGCCCCACTCCGTTCTCGATCTCTGCTGTCTCTCTCTCCTTGGTTACTCCTTTCCTTCACTGGAACACCCCCCTCGTCCTCCACCTTCCCTCGCTTGTTTACGCTCTTCACTCAAGACTCACTTCTTGTTTCCTAGGTACCCCCACGACCCCCCCCCCCCCCTTAATCTCCCCTTCATAACCACCACCGTCACTGCCCCCTTTTCATACTCCCATGATATGGCTGTCACTCATTAACCCCATTAATCTAATACATTCATCATCATTTACTGTCATCAATTTCGCTTTCACCGAATCGACACATCACAGATCCCCCACCCCCCCCCCCCCCCATTGCTTCCTCTCTCGTCTATCTCATTCACCGCGTCTCCGCCATCACGTTCGCATGTTCCACCCTTGTGAGCTTCCTCGTCAAGCGCCGTATCGCCAAGGCCCTGGAAACAATTCCGTGAAGGCAAGACGAGGGCAGCGACGCGCGCGAGCGTGTTCCGTACGGGGTGGAGGGGACCCTGGGCGTTTCGCGGCGCGTTCTTTCTCCTGCACGGTTTCCATGCCGCCGCCGTGCCCTGCCTGGCGCGCGTGCCAGGTACTGGCCGCACGGGCTGAAGACGTCGTGCGGGCCGGACGTGTTCAGCGGCAGCTCGGACCCCGGCGTGCAGTCCTACATGGTGGTGCTCATGGTCACCTGCTGCTTCCTCCCCCTCTCCGTCATCATCCTCTGCTACTTACAAGTCTGGCTCGCCATACACTCTGTGAGCATTGAGGGGGTGGAGGGGGGAGAGGGGGGGGAGGGGGGCACGCGCGGGTGCAACTTGCGGGGTGGCAACGAGCCAATGGGAGCATCAGATGAGGTTGGCGCACACAGAGACGTAGGGCACGTGAGGATGTGAGTGATCATCGGGGGGAATATTGGGGGCGGAAAGGGGATGAGGGCATCGGGGGAAAGGACGAGGGGGCAACATTGGGCGTTAGGATAAGGGGGGGGAGGGGACACATAGCCACGCAGGGAGATCACAAATACAAAGTTCTCCCTGTATAGCCTTAACAGACTGTAGGGGCAAGTGCTGTTAGCGAGCAGCACATGTGAAGGCCGGAACGGCACGCGAGGGGGGTGGGTGGATAGCACCACGCCCGGCCGCCTTTGTCTCCCCGGGGGACACGTCACGTGGGCAGGAGGGCGGTGAAGTCACGGTGAGGTAGGGGAGTCACTACTCCCCACGTGACACAGGAGCTGTCCATGGTACTCGCCGAAAACGAAGTGGCGGTGATGAGTGAGTGGTGGCGAATGGGAGTGACGCAGCATTCCGCCTTCGCGTTCTCCTCCCCTATTCTATTTAGACAATGTTGCTGCTGTAGATTTGCACATGATGATGAGCCACTTCGTTGAGCTATGATTTTGTGGCCAGGCCGCTTCTGAAAAAGAATGGCTCAGTGGGCCTTACCTCGCAAGATAAATAGTTGATTTTTTTTGTTGTATATATTTTTCAGTGACTTGTTTGCCTTGCCTATAATTTATTGTTGTAATCTTCTGACCCGTCCCTATTGGATATCTGTCAAAACGAGCTTTATAGCTCATCGACTTCCTCCAGTTTAAATAACTATTCTGAGTTTCCACATCCTCCCATGTCCACTTCCTCCGAATCCGCGTCTCCCTCCACCTCCTCTCATATATTCCTTCCATCCTCCTCATTCCTTTCTTCTCTTCCGTGCTGCTCCGCGTCAATCCTCTTCTTCCCTCTCCCATGCCTCCCCTCTTCCCGGTGTCCCTGACCATCCTCCACCCCCGCCACCCCCTCCACCACCACCCCCTCCAACACCACCACCACCATCACCACCCCCTCCACCGTCACCACCACCACCCCCTCCACCGCCACCACCACCATCCCCTCCACCCCCTCCACCCCCTCCACCGCCACCCCCTCCACCCCCTCCACCACCGCCGCCACCACCACCCCCTCCACCGCCACCACCACCACCCCCTCCACCACCACCACCACCACCCCCCCACCCCCTCCACCCCCTCCACCACCACCACCACCACTATCTCCACCACCACCACCACCACCACCACCCCCTCCACCACCACCACCCCCTCCACCACCACCACCCCCTCCACCACGCTCGTTCCTTCCGCGTTGACCGAGCGCAGGTGGCGCAGCAGCAGAAGGAGTCGGAGACGACACAGAAGGCGGAGCGCGACGTCTCGCGCATGGTGGTCGTCATGATCTTAGCCTACATCTTCTGCTGGGGACCCTACACATTCTTCGCGTGCTATGCGGCCGCGAACCCGGGCTACGCGTTCCACCCGCTCACCGCCGCCCTCCCGGCGTACTTCGCCAAGAGCGCCACCATCTACAATCCCGTCATCTACGTGTTCATGAACAGACAGGTGAGCGGGGCTCCGGCGTGTTGCCGGTTTGGTGAAGATCGGCGGTTGGTGGCAGAGTGTGTCCAGGCTTGAGGTGCCTCGCCTGGCACAAGCGTCCTGGGGACGTCACCGCAACTTAGTGGAGAATGGCAGTTGTTGTTGTTGTTGTTGGTAGTTGTGGCGAGGATGGTGGTGCTCGTCGTTGGAGTGGTGGTGGTGAAGATGGTGGTGAGAGCGAGTGTGGTGGTGAAAACTGTGGTGGTGGTGAGTATGGTGGTGGTGAGGATGGTGGTGGTGGTGAATAAGGTGGTGGCTGTGGTGGTGAAGAATAATGATAATTGTTACGCTGACAATGTTGGTGATTGTAGTTGACGTGATAATGGTAACGGTGGTGGTGAGGATGATGATCGTGTTGGCGGTAATGGTTTTGGTGGCATGGATAATCAAATATCAGAAGCAGTGGCGGTAGTTGTTGGTGATGACGCGGTTTTTTTATATAACGTCACGTTCTAACGTGTCCTCGTCACGCAATATTCGCTCGCTGTCCGAATGAGAGAGCGAGAGAGAGAGAGAGAGCGAGCGTGTGTATGCGCGTATGCACGGTGAACTTCTTTCGCGCCGTACGTAGCCAACCGAGATAATCGGCGGTGCGGGGAATAACAACAAACTAGACACGAAAAATAATTCTAAAGAAATTCGTTTTCAATGTGGAACGACTCCGACTTTCGAGAAGGAACCACGGCTGAGCGAGAAAGGCATCAGCAGGGCGGTGAGCCGGTATCAAATTCCCCCCCCCACCTCCAAGCTCTGCGGTCCTCTATATATGAAGATTTTCCAGCCAAATCATGTTTATTATGTGGCAAACGCGTTCCATCCGCAACACGGATGACAGATACGACAGGGTAAGGCAGTAAGCGCACACGTGCGTGTGTGTGTGTATGCGTCCCGTGGTGACAATGGTTGGTGAGGAGTGGTGGCGCAGTGGTTAGCACACTTAGGCTACTGACCCGGCCACGCGAGTTCGATTGCCGTTCATAAATGACGTCACGCACCTGGGAGGGGGGGCGGTCAGACATTTGTGACCATGTGTGACGAGGGGGGGGGGGCTGGGGGGTTGAGAAATGTGACATCACATCAAAATGCGCAACTTTAAATAAATATAGACGACACGTTCTACTTAATGAAATAGACTTTTTATAAATGTTTTCTCCTGCAACAGCAGAGTGCAGCGCCACATTAAATACGCACTACAATGACAATAGTTTAAAGCGATTCGAAGCATGTTTAATTATTTTTTGGGGGGGGGCAGAGCTTTGTGACGTCATATTTGAGGGGGGGGGTCTGATTTTTTGTGACGCCGTGTGACGAGGAGGAGGTGGGGGGGGGGGTCAAAAATCGTCCATAATCGCGTGACGTCATTTATGGACGGCCCCCCTTTGTCGAGTGCAGTTCCGCAACTGCATCATGCAGCTGTTTGGCAAGAAGGTGGACGACGGCTCCGAGGTGTCCAGCGCGTCCCGCACCGAAGTTTCGTCCGTCTCCAACTCCTCCGTCAGCCCCGCGTGACACCGCTCACCCTCACCACGCTCACCCTCACCGCACCGATCACCCTCACCACGCTCACCCTCACCACGCTCACCACGCTCACCCTCACCGCACCGCTCACCCTCACCGCACCGCTCACCCTCACCACGCTCACCCTCACCGCATCGCTCACCCTCACCGCACCGCTCACCCTCACCGCACGGCTCACCCTCACCACGCTCACCCTCACCGCACCGATCACCCTCACCACGCTCACCCTCACCACGCTCAACACGCTCACCCTCACCGCACCGCTCACCCTCACCGCACCGCTCACCCTCACCACGCTCACCCTCACCGCATCGCTCACCCTCACCGCACCGCTCACCCTCACCGCACGGCTCACCCTCACCACGCTCACACTCACCGCACCGCTCACCCTCACCACGCTCACCCTCACCACGCTCACCCTCACCACGCTCACCCTCACCACGCCGCTCACCCTCACCACGCTCACCCTCACCGCACCGCTCACCCTCACCGCCGCAACTCAGCGCCACACCGTGCAACATTCTACTAACCCTCGCAACGCTACTGCTCACCCTCACCACTGCTACTACCACACTGTTCAACTTCATGGCACTGCTTACCGCTACTGCTCACCCTCACCACTGCTACTCACCACGGAGGTATTACTCAGTGTGCAAACCATGCGTCAGCTTGCCGTGCGGCCGTGTGCACCTCACCAGCGCGACTCACCGCACCACTCACCAACTGTGACCAACGCAGTGCTCACCACCACTAAGCCAAAATAATTCACTACTCACCGTTCTTCTCACCAACACCGCTCACCAACACCGCTCACCAACACCGCTCACCAACACCGCTCACCAACACCGCTCACCAACACCGCTCACCAACACAGCTCACCAACAACCGCTCACCAACACCGCTCACCAACACCGCTCACCAACAACCGCTCACCAACACCGCTCACCAACACCGCTCACCAACACCGCTCACCAACACCGCTCACCAACACCGCTCACCAACACCACTCACCAACACCGCTCACCAACAACCGCTCACCAACACCACTCACCAACACCGCTCACCAACAACCGCTCACCAACACCACTCACCAACACCGCTCACCAACAACCGCTCACCAACACCGCTCACCAACACCGCTCACAGCACGACTCAACACGCGGTCCGTACTCACCTAATCGGCACTCACCATTATCCGCTCACCATCACCATCGTCGCCATATGAAATAAAATAATCGCACCGTCGTCCCACGCCCATACGGCCTGCACCAGGAACGCGCTGCTGCGTGCAAGTGTACAGAAAGCAGCACTACGCAGGCGTGCGGGCCTGGGTTCGAGTCGGGGTCAGGGCTGAAGCTCAGCGTTCAGCCGGATCAACACCCGAACGAAACAGTTGCGTCAACTGTGCGTTGCGCGCAATTGCACGACTCGCAACTGGTTGCGAGCGCGGTTCGCGTCAACTTTGTGTCGCGCGCGACTGAACGAATCGCAACTGATTGCGAGCAGTTGCGTGGGTTTTGCGTGACGCGCAACTGAATGAATCGCGACTGGTTGCGAGCTGCGGGGCAATGTTTGCTGCTCAGGGTCGAGACAGAGACTCTAGATCGTCGCGGACACGACAATGTTTTGTCGTTGCAAACGATGGTTGTTGAGATCCCGAAGCGATGGTGTTTAAATAGACGTTATGCTTGCGCCCATGATGTGGGCAAAGCAGTCGAGGGCGATGGTTATTAAGGTGGGCGACTCGTGAGAGCGATCTTGTTACCGCGCGACGCATGGGTCAGGGTGAGCGTCACGATGAACGTGCAGTGCCGGTCGTCGGGTGCAAGGTGAGCGTTGAGGGGCGGGTGTCATGTTGGCGTTACGATTCCGGTAAAACACAAACAAAAATTGGAGTTATGATTTAGGGGTTTGGGCTTTAGCGTTAGCAACTACCCCAACCCTGTTTAACATCCTGTAAGCAAGCCAACGTTGGTCCAACGTACCATGCATGACGGCAGAGACGGTACTCAATGTATCGACCACGTAGATGTGACGATGATGATGATGATGGTGATTCTAGATTTGAAGCTTTCGTGACTGCAAGGATTCATACTCTTAGGTTTTTTTCGGTAAAGTCACGTAGGTAAAAAAATTACGTTAAAATTTATAAAAGTAATAATAGAAATAAAATAATAATACATTTTATTCATATTATTTCTATTATTACTTTTATTATTACTTTCATTAATTTTCATAAGAATTTATTTTAATAAAATTAAAATTAATAAAAGTAATAATAGGAATAAAAAATAATACATTTTATTTCTATTATTACTTTTATTATTATTTTATTATTATTAATTTTAATTTTCTTTTTTTACCTACGTGACTTTACCGTAAACAACCTAAGAGGATGATGGTGATGTTAATGGTGAGGCTGGGTCAACAATTGGCAAGGGAATCCAACTCACGACCCCCTTTGGGAGGCTGCTGGATCATTCTCACGGCCACTCTTTGGACGGACGATCGATGTGCATGGGGCCGCACAGTCGACTGCCTATTCACTTTATAAACAAGTGGGCGAGAAGAAAGAAAAAACATGCACACGCATGTCTTGTCGAACGCTTTCCAATAAGCGTATTGCCCTCGGGCGCGTTTAATTTAGCAGCACACGTTTGCAAATAACACATTGTCCTGCGGAGGGAGCTGGTAGGAACGTTGGGTTGCTCGGTTAATGGCCAGGGTCAACGGCGGCGTGGTGTATTCCGCAAATATGCCCGACTGTGAGGGCGGGCACAAGCCGGCGTGAGTAGGTTAAACGTTGAGTTTTATTAGGGCACCACGGGGTGACCAGCCCCTCCCCACCCAGCCCCACCCCTCCCACCCAGCCCCACCCTCCCCACCCAGCCCCTCCCCACCCAGCCCCACCCCTCCCCTCCCCACCCAGCCCCTCCCCACCCAGCCCCTCCCCACCCAGCCCCTCCCCACCCTCCCCACCCAGCCCCTCCCTCCCACCCAACCCCTCCCTGCATGACGGACGGACGGACACAATAATCCCCTGTGGGCTGGTGGAACCAGGTGGTTCCTACCAGTAAAACATGTGTTTGCTCTGGTTTGGTGTCTCCCAGTGTTGAGCAATACCGATCTATGTGGCCGGATCTCTCTTGTCTCAGTGTCCAATAGCAAGTCGACTTGATACTTATGGTTTGAGTCGTCCCGGGTCACCTTTACTAGACTTGTAGAGCTCTTCTCCTGCACGTCATTCATGACATCGGTAATGATGATGATGATGCTGCTGATGATGGTAATGATGTTATCGTTGGTTGTAATATTAAACGTTCTTATCTGTTGTAGTAGATGATGTTACTGCACATGCAATAAATTCCTAACTGCATCAGTAAGCGACAAGCTGATTGCGTGTTGACAGCATGATGGGTTTGCTATCGATGATGATGGTTTTGCAATTGAAAAGGAGCGATGGTTTTGATACTGATGATGATGTCACTGCTGCTGCTGCTGCTGCTGGTGGTGATGATGATGATGGTTTTCCGCTGTTGCTGATTATCATGATGACATTGTTTACTGTGCACACTTCTGTTGCTGCTGCTGCTGCTGCTGATGGTGTTCCTATTGCAGATTATGAACACGATGCTGATGATACTGCTACTGTTAATGCTCCTGCTGATGCTCCTGCTGATGATGGTGGTGGTTCTACTGCTGATCATGGTGATGGTGGTGGTGTTGCTGCTAATGTTGAAACTGATAATGGTTTGGCTGCTGCTGATGAAGATGATCAGAGTGCTGCACAGTGCTGTTGCTGAAACTTCTGCGGCTGCTACTGTGTGTGTGTTTGTGTGTTTGTATGTGTGTGCGTGTTTTTTTCGGTGCCTGGGTATTTTGTACCATCGGACACTCCACCCCCACAACTCTCAATCGGTGATGGGGCAGTAGTGGAGAGAGTGGAGAGTTTCCCATACCTGGGACAGTGTGCTTATGACCGGTTCCAGTTTAACAGCAGAGGTCTCACTCCGAATCAGTCGAGCGGCAATATATTTTCATCGGTTGCGTAACGCTGTGTGGAAGCTACCTGGTCTGTCGCTCCGCACGAAGCTTCAGGTCTTCTCGGCCACGGTCATTCCCTCCCTTCTCTATGCTTGCGAAACGTGGACCCCCCTAATGGAGCATCTTCGCCGGTTAGAAACATTTAGGCTGGCCTGCCAACGATCCATCCTGGGTTTAACCAGGCTGGATTGTGTGAGGAGCTCACAAATCCTTGAAAGATCTGGGCAAAGTCTCATCGGAGAGCTCCTACGGCAGGCAAGGCTGCGTTGACTGGGTCACGTAGCCCGCATGCCCAGCCACCGCATGCTAAACAGCTTTTGTTCGGCCGGATCGAGGGGGCTAACCGGGCGCGGCACGGGCTAGAGAAGAGATGGAGTGATGTGGTGCAGGAGGACGTGGAGCTGAGTGGACTTGCCGATGACTGGTACAAGCGATGTCAAGATCGGCCTCTGTGGAGGAGGCTCGTGAAGGACGCTACTGGGCAGTTGGAGGCAGTCGCCCTCCAACAACAACGGAGAGCGGAGGAGCGACGCTCACAACAACGAGCGGAGCGCCGGGTGGCTAAAGCACAGCAAGTTGGCACAGTAGGGGGCACAGGTGGTGCATCAGCCAGTCATCTCGGTCATGTCAGTCAGTCGACCCGTGGCAACTGGGTCTGCCCCGTGACCTCCTGCCAGCGGGCGTTCGACACTTCACGTGGCCTCAAGGTGCACATGGCCTGGCACAAGCGTCGTGGTGACGTCACCGCCACTTAGTGGCGAATGGCGGTTGTTGTTGTGTTTGTGTGTGCGTGTTTTTGTGTGTGTGTGTTTGTGTGTTTGTGACTGGGGGAGCGGTGGTGTAGTGATTAGCGCACTGCACTACGCACCTGGTAATCAGAGTTCGATTCCCGCTCACGGACAACACCAGTGGCGATTATTAACCGGTCCTGGGCCTCCCCCTAGGTTTACTCAGCCGCAAATGAGTACCTGGTGCGGTGTGTAAACATCAGCACGAGGGAGACAAAGGCGGCCGAGCGTGGTGCTGAACATCCACCCCTTCCTGTGCCGATCCGGCCTTCATAGGTGCTAACAGCACTTGCCCAACCAGCCTGTTAAGGCTATATGGGGGATCTTTGCTTGTGACTGGGAGCGGTGGCGTAGTGGCAACCCTGTTGGATTTCCGCTTTCGGGTCAAAATCATTGACAAATATCTGAGCCGGACCTGGGCTCTCTCCTAGGTCGACTCAGCCTCAAATGAGCACTTGGTGCGGTGTGTAAACATCGCCACTGGGGAGACAAAGGCGGTCGGGCGTGGTGCTGGCCACCCACCCCCTCGTGTACCGTTCCGGCCTTCATAGGTGCTCGCTAACAGTACCTGCCCCTACAGTCTGTTAAGGCTATACGGGGGATCTTCATCTTTGTTGTCTGTGTGTGTGTCTGTGTGTGTGTATGTGTGTGTGTGTATGTGTGTGTGTGTCTGTGTGTCTGTGTGTGTGTGTCTGTGTGTGTGTCTGTGTGTGTTTGTCTGTGTGTGTCTGTGTGTGTGTGTCTGTGTGTGTGTCTGTGTGTGTGTCTGTGTGTCTGTGTCTGTGTGTGTCTGTGCGCTTGTGTTTGTGTGCGGGCAGAGGTGGCACAGTGGTCACCGTACCGCGCTACGAACCCGCAGATCTGAGTTCGCGTTCTGTCATCGGGAGCGAACGATATCTGAACCGGCCCTGGGTCTCCCTTTGATCAACTCATCCTTGAATGAGTACCTGTAGCGTTGTGAATGAGTACCTGTAGCGCTGTGTAAACATCCGCACCGGGGAGACAAAGGCGGCCGGGCGTGCTGTTGGCCATCTACCCCCTAGTGTGCCGTGCCGGCCTTCATAGATGCTCGCGAACAGCGCTTGCCCCAACAGTCTGTTAACAGGCTGACTCTTTATGGCTATGTGCACGCGTGTACAGTGAAGTTATTTGCGTTTTTTTTTAAAGTGTCACGGTTATAAGTCCTAACAGCCTCGTCAGCGGTCTGGCATATGACCAACAGTGGGATGATGTGTTCCTCGAGATTGTGTGTGTTTGGGGAACTGGAGAGTAGCGGTTAGCGCACTGCGCTACTATTAGGGGCCGTCCATAAATGACGTCACGCACCTGGGGGGGGGGGTCAGACATTTGTGACGATGTGTGACGAGGAGGGGGGGGGGGTGAGAAATGTGACGTCACATCAAAATGCGCAACTTTAAATAAATATAGACAACACGTTCTACTTAATTAAATCGACTTTTAAATAAATGTATTCTCCTACAACATCAGAGTGCAGCGCCACATTAAATACGCACTACAATGACAATAGTTTAAAGCGATTTGAAGCGTGTTTTATTTTTGGGGGGGGGGTGGAGGCAAAGCTTTGTGACGTCATATTTGAGGGGGGGGTCTGACTTTTTGTGACGTCGTGTGACGAGGTGGGGGGGGGTCAAAAATTGTCCAAAATCGCGTGACGTCATTTATGGACGGACCCTCACCCAGCGGTTACAGAGTTCAATCCCCGCTCACAACCAAATAACGGTGGCAAATATTTGAACCGTTCCTTGTCCTCCCCTAGGTCGACTCAGCGTCCTGTTAATGGCTACGTCCACGTGGCGTTCCGGCCTTCGGCTGTGCTTGTTTGCAGCACTTGCCCCGACAGTCCATTATAAGGCTATAAGGGGAGAGAGAGAGAGGGGGGTGGGGGGCTGTGTGTTTATGTGTGTGCGTAGGCATGTAACGCGCACGACGGCAAACCTTCCAGCTACATTTCATACACGTCCAAACACGAACCCGTATCAATACACTCACACAACAAAAGACAAATGTCCCCCGTATAGCCCTCACGTGGTGTTTGGGAAAGTGAGACGTGCGAACACCTTTAGGAGGCTAACACGCCACACGAGGGGGTGGGTGAACAATAATTAAATACCACGCCCGGCCGCCTTTGTCTCCCCAGTGCTGGTGTTTTATACACAGCGCACCAGGTAATTATTTAAGGCCGAGTGGACCTTGTGTGAGGACCCAGGAGCACCGGTTCTGTCACTGATGTTGGCCGTGAGCGGGAATCGAACTCCACTCACCTGGTTCGTAGCGCGGTTGCGCTAACCACTGCGTCACCGCTCCCCACGTTCTCTCAGATACAAAAGACAAAGATCCCCCGTGTAGCCTGAACAGACTGTTGGGGCAAGTGCTGTGAGAACTTATGAAGGTCGGCACACGAGTGGGTGGGTGGCCAGCACCACGCCCGGCCGCCTTTGTCTCCCTAGCGGCGATGTTTACTTCCCGCACCAGGAATTCATTTGAGGCTGAGTTGACCTCGGGGAGGCCCAGGACCGGTTCAGATAATCGCCAATGTTGTTGACCGTGAGCAGGAATCGAACTCGGGTCGCCGGGTTCGTAGCGCAGCGCCCTAACCGCTGCACCACCGCTCCCCGTGTATATCAGATACACGCGCTACAAAGACAAAGATCCCCCGTGTAGCCTTTACAGACTGTAGGAGCAAGTGCTGCTAGCGAGCACCTATAAAGGCCGGCACTGCACACGCTACACGACCGATTCTCATACACGCACGTACACACACGCACACACACACACGTACACACACACAAAGTATAATCACACCCACTCTCACTCACATACACACCTGCACACACACACGTACACACACACAAAGTAAAAACACACCCACTCTCTCTCACACACACACACACCTGCACACACACACGTACACACACACAAAGTAAAAACACACCCACTCTCTCGCACACACACACGTACACACACACAAAGTAAAAACACACCCACTCTCTCTCTCACACACACACACCTGCACGCACACACACACGTACACACACGCAAAGTAAAAACACACCCACACTCTCTCACACACACACGCACACACACGTATACACACACAAAGTAAAAACACATCCACTTTCTCTCACACACACACACGTACACACACAAAGTAAAAACACACACACTCTCTCGCACACACACCTGCACACACACACACGTACACACACAAAGTAAAAACACACACACCCACTCTCACACACACACACACCTGCACGCACACACACACGCGCACACACACACGGGCTCGTTAGGCAGGGTTGGAGACCTGTGTGTGTGTGTGAACGGGGCGGCCCATGATATCCGCAGTCGTCGCCGGTGCTTCGGAGTGCCGTGGAGGGTGAGGACATGTTAGGATGGGTTGGGAAGTTCCTAGAAATTGGCTCCGTCTCTTGCTGGTGGTGACGTGCATATACGAGCGGCAGGGGTGAGTGGAACACATGCGCACGCGCGCGCACACACACACACACACGTGTATATCCTTTCACATGTTCGTACATGAGCAATGCATGCACAGGGCATTATTCATTCACTGCTGGATTGAATGCCTCCCAGCGCTGCAGTCGATCTCGCACGGTGCCTGCGTTGGTAGCAATCCAACCGATGTAGCCTGCAAACGAGTTCTTATCCGGGCGTGTTCTCTGCATCAAATGCAAACTTTGGCTGCAATTCCGTCGTAAAGTCGCGTACGTGTCTCAACAATTAAGGTTAACGGCTTAAATCTGAAGACGTTACATTTTTTTTTACAATTTATTATCTAATTTACCCAGGTAAAGCCCACCGTGCTCTTTTTCAGAAGCGATCTGGCCACAAGTGATAGCCCGACGAAGTTGCTCATCACGTTTAAATGTACAGCAGCCAAACACTTTATAAACGCGTGTCATCGACTCTAAATGTGGAGGGGGAACCCGGAGGACCCGGAGAAAAATCCACGCGACCACGGGGAAAGAGAGAGAGACACGCAAACTCCAAATATACAGCAGCAGCAGCAGGCCTCAGGGTCGGGATCGAACCCACGACCTCCTGCATACCAGGCGAGGTAGTTAACATCTCCTAGCCACCGTCGTGATGATGAGAGAGAGACACGCAAACTCCAAATATACAGCAGCAGGCGTCAGGGTCGGGATCGAACCCACGACCTCCTGCATACCAGGCGAGGTAGTTAACATCTCCTAGCCACCGTGATGATGGGAGAGAGACACGCTAACTCCAAATATACAGCAGCAGGCGTCAGGGTCGGGTTCGAACCCACGACCTCTTGTACACCAGGCGAGATAGTTAACATCTCCTAGCCACCGTGATGATGAGAGAGAGACACGCTAACTCCAAATATACAGCAGCAGGCCTCAGGGTCGGGATCGAACCCACGACCTCCTGTACACCAGGCGAGGTAGTTAATATCTCCTAGCCACCGTGATGATGATGAGAGAGAGAAACACGCAAACTCCAAATATACAGCAGCAGGCGTCAGGGTCGGGATCGAACCCACGACCTCCTGCATACCAGGCGAGGTAGTTAACATCTCCTAGCCACCGTGATAATGATGAGAGAGACACTCAAACTCCAAATATACAGCAGCAGGCGTCAGGGTCGGGATCGGGATCGAACCCACGACCTCCTGCATACCAGGCGAGGTAGTTAACATCTCACCCGTGCACACCCCCACGCTTCTTAACACACCACCCAGGTCTTGTTCCGTGTTTGGCTTATTTTCTGTTCTTTTCTAATCGTGGCTAAGCTGCTGCACGTGACTGGCTGTGACAATCCAGCACCGTGGGGGCAGCAGCGAGAATTGGTGGATCACCGCAGAGATCTTTTGCGAAACTCCCTTCCCATGGGCGGGCAACGAGTAGCCATATTACCCTGGTTTGCCAGAAGGCTCTACGGCAAGTGTGAACTAGCCTCCTCCTTCTTGGTTCTTTCGGTAAAAATAATACAAATAAAACATAATAAAATAATTCTCACGAGAATTATTTTATTATGTTTTATTTTAATAATTTTATAATTTCCCTTCTACGTGACTTTACCGAAAGAACCAAGAAGATGAATCCCTGCAGTCACGAAAGCTTTAAATCGAAATTTAACCTCCTGTTGCAACTCATTTCCCGTGGGTATCAAGGAGGTGTCCATGATACTCCTGGCTCGCCAGGAAGAAGGCAGTACAGAAAAGTGTCGACTCATCTCCACCTAGATTTGAAGCATTCGTGACTGCAAAGATTCATACTCTTAGGTTTTTTTTCTGTAAAGTCAGGTAGGTAAAAAATTAAATTAATACAAAAAAATCACGACGTTTCGGAGGCAACACAAGCTTCCGTCTTCAGGTGGAACCGTCACAGTACGATAGCTGTATATTGCTTGATACAGCAATCGTGCTATGACGGTTCCACCTGAAGACGGAAGCTTGTGTTGCCTGCGAAACGTCGTGAATTTTTTATTTTTTTTATTTTACTTTTATTAATTTTAATTTTTCACCTACGTGACTTTACCGAAAAAAACCTAAGAATATCATCTTCACCTGTTTGCATCGGTAGGGAGATTGAGCGTTGTCCCCTCGCACGCGTGGGGGTTTCTCTGGGTGCTCTGGTTTCCTCCCTCGTGTCAACAACCATAGGAGGATACTCGTGATGAAGAGTCGCTTGGACTTTCCTGGGTAATCAATCAACTACGAGTCATAATTGATTTTTGGGTCAGAGTAAAATGTGTCGTACAGCCTCCTCCACCTCATGCTATCATCCTCGTGTCGTCGTCTGTTATCGCGCCCGTCACTGATCGAACCACCAACCCTTGCATACAAGATTGCTGCCTGAGTGATCCTGCGCCTTTTCCCTTGCTCGCCATTCCTCCACCGCTACCCCCCCCCCCCACTATCTTACTTTTCACACCACTCCACTGCTGCCCTTCATGGGCCTACCCGGTATATTATATTCTCCCCCCCCCCCCCCCCCTATTCTCTTATCGCTCAACCCTTGTCTTTTATCCTTCTTCCCTTCTAGTTCCCACTCTCCTCCCCTCTCTGGCCACCACCACATCATTATCACACCCACACCCGCGCGCCCACCACGCCGTGCTGCCTTTTAGAACGGTGCCCGGTTTCTAATCTTGTTTCATTCCCTCCTTTTCCCCTCTCCCATCCCCACCCTGCCCACAACCTCCTGCCCCCCCCCCCGCTCCTAATCTCCCCCCCCCCCGCTCCTAATCTCCCCCACCCCCCATCTCCCCCCCCCCACCCCCCATCTCCCCTCCCCACCCCCATCTCCCCCCCCCACCCCCCATCTCCCCCCCCCACCCCCCATCTCCCCCCCCCACCCCCATCTCCCCCCCCCACCCCCCATCTCCCCCTCCCACCCCCCATCTCCCCCCCCCACCCCCCATCTCCCCCCCCACCCCCCATCTCCCCCCCCACCCCCCATCTCCCCCCCCCCACCCCCCATCTCACCCCCCACCCCCCATCTCCCCCCCACCCCCCATCTCCCCCCCCACCCACGCTGCCCTTGCAGGGCCGTGCCCGGCACCGCTGCGCTGGGCGCGAGCGCCATCTGCGTGCGCCTGGCGGGGCTCTCCCCGCGCCAGAGGGCCGCGTGCGCGCGCCGGCCACGCGCCGTGGTGGCCGCGGGCCTCGGGGTGGAGGCGGCCGCCGCCGAGTGCTCGCGCCTCTTCCGCGAGCAGCGCTGGAACTGCACGGGCATCGGCGGGGCCGCGGGGATGATGGGCAGGAGGATGCCCGTCGGTGCGACACGTGGGACATGTGGGGCACGTGGTGGTTATGGGACATGTTGTGGTGATGGGATATTTGGGGCATGTGGTGGTGATGGGATATGTGGTGGTTGGAGGTGGTGCTGATGATGATGATGGGACACGTGGTGATGATGGGATATTTGGGGCACGTGGTGGTGATGGTGGTGATGGGACATGTGGTGGTTGGAGGTGGTGCTGATGATGATGGGACACGTGGTGGTGATGGGGCATGTGGTGGTGATGGTGGTGATGGGACATGTGGTGGTTGGAGGTGGTGTTGTTGATGATGATGGGACACGTGGTGATGATGGGATATTTGGGGCACGTGGTAGTGTGACACGTGGTTGATGGTGGGCGATGATGGGACACGTGGTGGTGGTGGTGCTGGTGATGCTGCTGCTGATGATGGGACACGTGGTGATGGTTTAAATGTTGGGATGGACGGCTCCACTACCAGTGTCCACCACGTGGCTCAGGGGACACTGGTGGTGATGTGGCCGAAACGTCGTGAGAATTGTATTTTATGATGTTTCATTTTTATTATTTTATTATTTCCCTTCTACGTGACTTTACCGAAAGAACCAAGAAGACGTGGTGGTGTGTTTATGATGACGGTGCTGGTGTTAAGGGCCGTCCATCAATGACGTCACGCACCTAGGGGGGGGGGGGGTGGTCAGACATTTGTGACGATGTGTGACGATGGGGGTGGGGGTTGAGAAATGTGACGTCACATCAAAATGCGCAACTTTAAATAAATATAGACAACACGTTCTACTTAATTAAATACAGTAGACGTTTTAATAAATGTTTTCTCCTACAACATCAGAGTGCAGCGCCACATTAAATACGCACTACAATGACAATAGTTTAAAGCGATTTTAATGTATTTGTTTTGGGCGGGGGGGCAGAGCTTTGTGACGTCATATATGAGTGGGGGTCTGACTTTTTGTGACGCCGTGTGACGAAGGGGGGGGTCAAAAATCATCCAAAATCGCGTGACGTCATTTATGGATGGCCCCTTAGGACATGTGGTGGTGGTAGTCGTGATGGAGGTGGTGGTTTGGTGCCGATCGTCCTGATGTTGGTGGTGGTGCTACTGCTGTGCTAATGATGATCGCTAATTGTTAGTGCGTCTGCTATGGATAAGGCTGATGATTGATATACACACGCAAACCTAGCTTAGCGTGACCTCGTGGAACACTGATTCGTTATAGCGCTCTTTGTCCTGGAGAACATTTTTACCAATTTTTTTTTAAATCAAAACTTCTCTAGAAAGCACTTACGAGTGAGAACACGCAGCAACTCCGGCCCCCATCATTCGCTCAGCCAATGAGAACGACTTACACTCCCAGCCAACCAGACCTCACCCCCGGCGATTCGAATTATCACATTTTGAAGTCACGATCAAATGTTGTTAAAACAATCGATTTGTTTAGCCAGGTGATAAATCACGAGACCAGGACAGAGTATCAGGCACCACCTACAAGAAATCTCACCACAGAAATGTAGATTGAGGGCATCACTAAGACCACGGAGGACCTGGAGCTCGTCTCTGAGAAATACCCGGATTGGGAGCGCGATTTGGCGATGCCCATATGAAGCCCTCGTATATTGCGCACACGAAAGAAACAACGCTGTGGGGAACGCATTCCCATATGTACAATGATTATGGCCCCTTTTAACGCCGTTTCGTTTAGCGCTCACTTCTCCAGGAACGCATCTTGAGCGCTAAGCGAAGTCTGCCTGTCCCGTATAACGCAACGTGCACTTACAGTGGCGAGGCGTTCGTCAACATCGAAGTGCGTTGTGACGTCGTTAGTTATTGCGTCGAGCCGTGTTCGACACTTTTCCAGGCGTAAAGCCGCCAACAATTTGTAAGCAGTTCCCTTGCGGCTAGGAAGCGTTTCCATGACTTTAGGTTGCTGACAGCTATGGTTTAGCGACTTGGGGGGGTCGAGTGTACTCCATCTGTCGTTGTCGTATCTCCGTGTCTGTGTATCTCCCTGTCTCTCTCGATCTCCACGGCGTGACCGTGTCGCGGGTGTCTAGTGTCCTGACCACAAGCATTGTGGTTAATGCACACATGATTCCTTGTAAAAGGTTTCAGTTTGGTGTTTTAACATCTTAACACAACTGGTTTGTTGCCAGATAAAAGGGGAAAACCTCTTCTCACGTCGGAGACTGTTGGCACAAGTCCGCTCCCCCATTGGGTGTGGGAGGTCGTTGTACTGTAGTCGCCAGCGGCTCCGCTTCCTACAAAGTTTGACGTAGAATCGTTGGCCGTGCTAGAGACTGTGTCGGTCGTACCATGGTGTCGGTCGTGCGTCAAGCTGTAGATATTAACCCTTTCCCGTTCCGAGACATCTGCAAGTTGCAGGGTGGGTGTCCCATTCACCTCTAAATCTCGGAACGCGCAAGCGGCTCAACGTAAATTTTATCTGCAGAGGTGTAATAAGAGCCTATGTCCGGCTCACGTGGTGATCGGCTCTGCCGGTCCCGCTTTATAGTCAATGGGGGGAGAGCCTGGGAGCATGGCCTCGGCGTGATCACGGCATGTCAGCTAGGGTGATTGGTTCTGCCGGTCTTGGCCTCAGCTAATGGGAAGCCAAGTCAGAGGCGTGGTCCCGGGAGTTGATGGGGGGAATCTGGAATGTTCGGCGCAGGCTATTCAGGATTGGCTTAAGGGTACCACGTGACCCAGGCGTTAAAGAGGGGAGAGACGGGAGACACGGGAGCAGACACGGAACGAAGGGAGCGAGGGGCCACGCACGTGCGGGGCTGCGGGTGCCACGTGGGCGGTGCATCTCTTGTGGCTGTCTGCCCGCTTCCCGTTGCCTGCCAGCAACGGGGAGTGTTTGTAAACTGTGGAAGTGAAATAAAAGGACCGATTCCACAAGTCGTCTTAAAGAGGTTTATTACAGAGGCATAGCGTCATTGTTATAAAAGACACTGTACTCACCTCAGAGAACTGTAGTATAACGACTGCACTCTATGATGGCTGGCGCCAAACTGTGCCACATGCCCTCCCGCATGGTCTTGTGGGAGCCTCTGTACCGACAACGTAGTTTTATTTTAGTTTTTCTTCCGGTTTCGTTTTGATGATGTACACGTTCATTATCGCAGCGGTATCGGAATAAAAAGTGATGACGTACATGTACGTCGTCGGAACGGGAAAAGGTTAAGTGAGGAGCTTCCGGAAGTTCGCTTTGTCGTACGCCGCTGTCAGGTCGGCAAAACACCAGCGCCTGTTGCTGGACCCTTGTCAAAGCTGACTCCGGTGAGTTTAGTGACGTGCAGCACTTGAGTAGTGCAGGATTTTGTGGGCGGAAGGAGCATTCAGCTTGCTCCAAGACAGAGGTCGCAACCGGGTACCCAATACCCGTACCCTACCCGATACCCGGCTACCCGTACCCGGCTGGGTACGGTTAACCGTTTGCGACCCTGGTGCGGCCGGGAATGGGTACGGGAAGGCCGTGAGTCACTTTTGAGTAACCGTTTGTCACTCATTTCTGGTGCGGCCGGGTACGGGTACGGGTAAGGAATCAAAACCCGTTTGCGACCTCTGCTCCAAGATCAGATGCTACTCATCAAATGGCGATAGGCGGTTTGGAATGAGGCGCTCGTACGGTTTTAAGAGGTGGCGTCGTAGTAATGTAGGCCCAAGGCTCTCCGTCTCTGATGCATCCTTCCACGGCTGTATGAATGCCCTGACGCGCGCCTGCCGCCAGATTTGTTACTGGTCCAAAGTGCGTGGTCTTCTCGGTGCGAATGTCAATACAGTGTACCGCCGGCTTTGCCATTCTCAATGAGGCTCTTGTTTCCTGAAACTAGCTCAGCCATGTCGTACTGCGCCGCAAAATAGTTAATCTCCTGGTTTCCTCGTCGCTGAAGCCGCCACGTCTTGAGTTGTTGTCCGGTGCCCTGCCGTGTCCCAGGATTGGTGCCGCTCTGCAGCGGCGTGTCGTCGCGTTGCTTCGTCTTCCTAGGATCGCTTTTATAAACCTTCCGGATGGATATCCATGCTCTTTTGGCTGCCATGGGGTCTCGATGGGACTCGATGGGACTCTGCCCCACGACTTCCATCATTCTCTTGCCAGCACATAGATGCCCATGATTTATTGCTATAACATGAACATTACGACGATGTTCAATTGATGAGGACGATTATGATATTCTTTCGTCAGGAGCAGCAGAGTGTATCGCTGTGTTGTCTCCTTCGTATTTGTGGATCGGGCATTGCGTCGTTATACGTTGTACGGTCCATTCTGGATGACCGCTGGGGAATTTTTAATTTCCCATTTATGCATCGGGTAATCGCATCTGCCATGGTTTGCGCGGATGCGGTTTAGCGTGGACCATGAGCTTCGTGAAAGATCAAACCCAGGGATTGTCTGCGTTGGGTCTTTCGCAAGGTGTTTGTGAGTTCTTTTGAACTCCGTTCAACTCTCAACCCTTCATTGGGCTGGAACTCGCATTGTTGAAGGTTCAGCGGTTGGGTCCAAAAGGGGCTTGCGCGGCGTGACTTCAAGCACATGTAGCTACGGGCCCCGCACTTTCAAGGGCCCCGCGCTAAATGCTTTAAAGCTGTCAATTCCGTTTCAGAGATTCTGCACTTGTTCTATTACTATAGTACTATACTGCCTTCCACTTTTTTAAACGACCGCGTGTTTAAGGTTAGCGATTTGTCGTATTATCTGGCTTTATAGCAAATGAAAAAATACAATTACTTTACAATGCAAGTTAAAAATGCGTGTTTTAACATGTCTTTTTTATTTAGGGCCCCTTTATAACATAACACTACAGGCCCCGCACTAGCTTAATCCGGCACTGCGTCGAGGTCTTGACGAACGGGAAAGGCGCGACTCTTTTCCTCGAATCGACGATGACGACGATGATGATGTCTCCTCCCGCCCCCTCCCATAGGGTGCCGCGAGGCCGCCTTCCTCCACGCCCTCACGGCCGCCGCCGTCGCCCACGCCGTGACGGCGGCGTGCAGCCGCGGGAGCCTCGGCGGCTGCGGCTGCGACGCCACCAAGGAGGGGCTGGCCACGCCGCATGGCCACGGCGGGGCTAACGGGGCCGTGGGCGGGGCTAACAGGATTGTGGGCGGTGCTAACAGGATCGTGGGCGGGGATTACGGGACAGTAGGCGGAGCTTACCGGAGCAACACGGCGGTGGGCGGGGCTCACGGAGCGTGGGGCGGAACCCACGAGCGAATGGGCGGAGTCAGCGGAACGGCGGGGAGGGGTCAGGGGGCGGTGGGCGGAGCTAACGGCGTGGGGGGCGGGCTCTGGAAGGACGAAGGGTCGTGGCGGTGGGGCGGCTGCTCGGCGGACGTGGAGCACGGCGTGGAGTTCTCGCGAGAGTTCGTGGACGCGGGAGAGGCGGCGCACGAGGCGCGCGCGCTCATGAACCTGCACAACCATGGGGCGGGGCGCGAGGTGCGAGCTTCTCTCCTCCCACCCCTCCTCTACCCTCCCCTCCCACTCCTCCCCTCTCCTCCCTCCCCTCCCCTCCCTCCCCTCCCCACCCCTCCCTCCCCTCGCTTCCTCCCTCCCTCCCCTCTCACCCCTCCCCTCCCACCCCTCCCCTCCCCTCCCACCCCTCCCTTCCCCTCCCCACCCCTCCCCTCCTACCCCTCCCTCCCCACCCCTCCCTCCCCTCCCACCCCTCCCCTCCCACCCCTCGCCTCCTCCCTCCCCTTCCTCCCCTCCCCTCCCACCCCTCCTCTACCCTCCCTCCCCTCCCTCCCACTCCTCCCTCCCCTCTTCTCCCACCCCACCCCTCCCTCCCCTCCCTCCCCTCCCCTCCCTCCCCTCCCTCCCCTGAAATACGCACTACAATGACGATAGTTTAAAGCGATTTGAAGCATGTTTTATTTATTTGGGGGGGGGGGAGCAGAGCTTTGTGACGTCATATTTGAGAGGGGGTCTGACTTTTTGTGACGCCGTGTGACGAAGGGGGGGGGGGTCAAAAATTGTCCAAAGTCGCGTGACGTCATTTATGGACGGCCCATGAGCTCCAGGGGTCCCAAACGTTCAAAGAGGTAGGCAGAATCAGAATGTTTATTTGGACTGCAGGAGGAGGAATCTGATAATCTGTGAAGCTCTTCGCAGATGTTCCAGCATGGGTTGGGTCAGCGAGTTACAATGGCAGACAATGCCAAAAATAAGTAATATTAAAAAAAAACTTTTTTTTGAAACACGCTTCAACGAAATGTACCCTACTAGTAATGGCAGAACTCCACGACTCCAGGAAGTGGCCCCGAAGCTTGCCATAACGTAAGGGGCTCCGTTGTGATTTACAGCCAACGTCAGTCGAGCGTGGACAATTAGACCCAAGTCGAAACATAACATATAAAAAATAATGTAAAAAAATATTTTTATTTTATTTTTCTGATATAACATAGTATTGTCATCAGTATGACCTAAGTATACCAAGTTAGCAGTCGATACCACATTGGGAAGTGGGTACAAATTGAGTTACAAGATTTGAGGATACAACAACAGACAGTGAGTTAATAGAAAGGCGTGTAAAAAACGATACAAGTGCAAACTAGAGAAAACGATGAGAAAATTCACGGAATATAAATACAAAATGAATTAAATAATTGTATAAGTACGATTTATCAAGCTTGGGAAAGACAGCAACAATAGTCTCAGACTACACCAAGATGACACTGCACAGTAGTCCCTCAATAAAATGTCAAATTAACGTTGAACTATCGATGCTACACGGGTAAGGATCAAAGTTCACACTTGCAAACAAATCACATTTGGGGCCATCCATTTAGTAGGCACGCAAAAAATCTGTCAAAACTTGACCCCCCCCCTCCCTGTACGCACGTGGACTTTTTACCCCCCCCCCACCCGCGTACGTACGCCTGACGCACCCCCCCCGAATCCTATAAAACGGCCGATATCACTGTGTAACAAAAAACATGTTCCTGGGTAGTAAGTGTTATTTCCTAATTGCTTATGCCTCAAAAGTACAGAAAATGGATATTCCCCATAAACTTTTATTTTGTGACCAGGACATTGATATTTTAAAATGTACCTATTTTCAATGAGAAAACGGGCGAATGTGTGTCTTTTCGTTCACATAAAGTCAGAAAAAACAACATATGAATGAAAATTAGCATGTATTTATTCTAAAGTAATAACAAAAATTACGACAAAAAGATTTTTGCCTCAATGGTTACAGTAAATCTAGCTGTGACGGTCCCACCTGCTGACGGAGACTTGTGTTGCCTCCGAAACGTCGTGATTTATAATTTTTATTTATATCATTATTTATATTATTTTATTATTTTAATTCTTTATTTTTTCCCTACGTGACTTTACCAAAAAAACCTAAGAGTAGTAGGGTCCTCTCCAAGGTTTCGCAGTCGAGGTTGCTGCTGCTGCTCCTCCTGCTGCTGCTGCTGCTGCTGCTGCTGCTGCTCCTGCTGCTGCTGCTGCTCCTGCTGCTGCTGCTCCTGCTGCTGCTCCTGCTGCTGCTGCTCCTGCTGCTCCTGCTGCTTCTGCTGCGTGTGTCTGTGTGTGTGAGGTGCTCGCTCACAGCATTTGCCCCAACAGCCTGTCCAGGCAATATGGGGGATCTGTGTGTGTGTAGGGAGTGGTTGTGTCGTAGTTAGCGCACTGCCACCTGAGTTCGATTCCCGCTCACGGCCAACACCCAGTGACGATTATTTGAAGTTAAAACTAGTTGAGTTTGATCAGTATTTATATTTTAAGTGAATTGTTTACCTTTCCTATACTTTGCACTCTCATCATGTTTCTGTATTTTTCGCTATTGTAACGTTCTTGACATCGACGAAACAGAGCCGCATAGCTCATCGGATTCCTCCAGTCTAAATACATATTTAGATTTTGTCTACGGGGACCCTTTTCCCACCACCAAAGTGTGAAAAATAAGAATACGTTTCACGCTTTCTGGCAATAAAACAGCCGTTAAAATGTTCAAACAACAAATAGATACATTTTGCGAGGCATCAAGTCTGCATTAGCCGCACGTGTACCCGTGGCAAATACATGCACGCAAACACGCTCGGACAATATCAGCATCGTCTTTGAAACGCATTGGCCTACGCCAGTGACAGTCTCCTTGATGGCCCCGTCTCACCACCAGTGTCACGCCAGAGAACATCGCGAAAAGGCGAACAGCACAGAGAGAATGCGAGTGTAGTGTTGTAAAGGACGGACTTATACACTTCTTTATGGCACGCACTGTTTATTGTCTTAATACACAGTCCCTATCACACAAAGGGGGTATGTGGTCCCCTCACCCGTTACCCTGAGGAGACACAGCCTCCGGACCTTGCAGGCTATCTAATCTCCCTGCTCTCTCAGCGTCCTCTGGCTGGACCTAGGGGATCTCTCCCCGACCACTGGTTACTCTGAGCCCTAGCCCTGACAAGGGCTGGAGGGCTTGGTCCAGGGTCCTAGATGTCTTCGGCCGACTTGGATCTTCGTGTAGCAGAACTGGCCAAGAGCTCTCAGCGCTCCGGCTTTTATACCTGTTCGTGGCCGGGTTGTCCAATCCCCGGCCACTTTGTGGAACTCTCCGATTGGTCCTTCCCAATCTGGCGTTTGGATCCCACCTCACCCCATTTGACCCTGACCGTTTTATTGAGCGGGAAAACCTTGTTTACGATCCGCTCTCTCACAGCTTGCGAACAGCGAGTAGTTATCACCACTACGCGAGCACCGGCTCATTCGTCGCATCCTCGTTCATCTCCTGCGCGCGCAGGCTTTGCGCAGGGCGACCACCCTGCACTGTCGCTGCCACGGCATCTCGGGCTCCTGCTCGGCCCGCACCTGCTGGGCCCTCCTGCCACCGCTCCGCGAGGTCGCCCTGCGACTCAAGGCCAAGTTGAAGACGGCGCGGGCCGTGGAGGCCGTCCTGGCCACCCGGCACCGGCGTCCCGTGTTCCTCCACCTCAAGCGGCCTGACAGCAGCAGCAGCGGAGATGCGAAAAGGTGGGGTCGTGATAATTGGATTTTTACCCTTTTATCTAGCAACAAAACTGACACCTTTTTTACAAGGAGTCATGTTTGCATTGACCACAATACCTGCGGTCGGAATGCAAACAAAAAACAGAACTCTGATAATGTATGCACTTCTTGGTTCTTTCGGTAAAGTCACGTAGAAGGGAAGTAATAAAATAATATAAATAAAACATCATTAAATAATTCTCACGACGTTTCGGCCACAACGCAAGCAGCCGTCCTCAGGTGAAGAATGAAACACCACCAAGCTTGGAGCGTATATTTAAGCTGGGTTGGAGGGGGGAAGAAGAGCGCTTTGACAAAATCGAAATATATGCACTGTCCTTGAAGTTTATTGGTCCACACCCGAGACAGCTTTCCTTAGAGCCTAGTCTCACATGGTGTTGGACCAGATGACGCCAAAAGGCGCACAACTCAAAGACAATACACCATCAGAGTATGAGAGCTCGGGGTAAGCATTTACACCATTGGAACCTCATTTGCCAGTAAAAAATATGATCATTGTTTTTTACCCTTCTATCTGGCAACAAAACTGACACCTTTTTTACAAGTTTTTGTTGCCAGATAGAAGGGTAAAAAAAATCAATTATCATATTTTTCTACTGGCAAATGAGGTTCCAATGGTGTAAATGCTTAGCCCCGAGCTCTCTTTTACTCTGATGGTGCATTGTCTTTGAGTTGTGCGCCTTTTGGCGTCATCTGGTCCAACCCATGTGAGACTAGGCTCTAAGGAAAGCTGTCTCGGGTGTGGACCAATCAACTTCAATGACAGTGCATACATTATCAGAGTTGTGTTTTTTGTTTGCATTATGGCTGCTGGTATTGTGGTCTATGCAAACATGACTCCTTGTAAAAAAAGTGTCAGTTTTGTTGCCAGATAGAAGGGTAAAAAAACAATTATCATATTTTTTACTGGCAAATGAGGTTCCAATGGTATAGGTGGGATCGTGTTAGAGGAAGTGCAGACCCGCAAGAACTCAACTCACGCAACCGCTAGAGGATGGGGCGGCTCCTTGGCAGGGAGATCTTGAGTGGCGCTGAGATCACCATTTCACAACACTCCAGAACCCGGCTTAATCACAACGTGGTCTGTCATTGTCTCTCTGTCACACTGTGGTGACCAGCCCCGACACCATAAACGCGGCGTTCTTCATTGCAAGGCCCGTGGGCCAATGGCGGTCCCCCCTGATGGCCGTTTAGTGCGGCTCCTGACGTGCGGCCCCCCGATAATACACAACAAGTGACACCCCCCCCCCCCAAACATCGTCACGATCGTGCTGCTGTCAAACCCCCAATGGTCTCATATATGTGGCGGTGCTTACATTGATCATGTCTTATCGGCGAAAGTGAAAATTAGTAAAGAACACTGCCATGAACTCTCTACATCGGAGAACCTGGTTTCATCACAATTAGGATTATTTGGAACTTTGGGTCTCTTAAGTCTATACGTCTCTATGCTAGTCACTGAGGAGACCCATCAACTCATGAAATCCACCACCATTTCATCATCACTATGTCCCACACCAACATTCTCATCACTATACAGTACCACCACCATCGTCATCACCATCATCACTATTTCTACCACTGCTACCGCCACCACCATCGTCATTATCATCATCATCATCGCTATATCCACCACCGCTATCACCGCCATCATCACCACCACCACTATATTCACCACCACGACCACTATCTCCACTCCCACCAACACCACTATTTTCACCACCACCAACATCGTCACCACCACGACCACTATCTCGACTCCTACCAACACCACTATTTTCACCACCACCAACATCATCACCACCACAACCACTATCTCCACTCCCACCAACACCACTATTTTCACCAGCACCAACATCGTCACCACCACGACCACTATCTCCACTCCCACCAACACCACTATCTTCACCACCACCAACATCGTCACCACCACGACCACCATCTCCACTCCCACCAACACCACTATTTTCACCACCACCAACATCGTCACCACCACGACCGCTATCTCTACTCCCACCAACACCACTATTTTCACCACCACCACCACCATCGTCACCACCACGACCACTATCTCCACTCCCACCAACACCACTATTTTCACCACCACCATCATCGTCACCATCACCACCACTATCTCCACTCCCACCAACACCACTATTTTCACTACCACCACCACCAACATCGTCACCACCACGACCACCATCTCCACTCCCACCAACACCACTATTTTCACCACCACCACCACCAACATCGTCACCACCACGACCACCATCTCCACTCCCACCAACACCACTATCTTCACCACCACCACCACCACCAACATCGTCACCACCACGACCACTATCTCCACTCCCACCAACACCACTATTTTCACCACCAACATCATCACCACCACGACCGCTATCTCCATTCACACCAACACCACTATTTTCACCACCACCACCACTACCACCACCACCACTATATTCACCACCACGACCACTATCTCGACTCCCACCAACACCACTATTTTCACCACCACCAACATCAACATCGTCACCACCACGACCGCTATCTCCCCTCCCACCAACACCATCACTATTGCCACCACCCACCCACCACCAGCTGGAAGCCCCGCAAGCCCACCAAGGAGGAGCTGGTCTTCCTGGATAAGTCGCCCGACTTCTGCGAGGAGGACGCGCGTGCCGGCGTGGCGGGCACGACGGGGCGCCGGTGCCAGCGTCGGCCCGGAGCCGGGGGCTGCGAGATTTTGTGCTGCGGTCGGGGATACAACACGGTGCTGCTCCATCAGCACCACGTGGGCGATGATGATGATGACGTGGACGATGATGATGATGACGACGGCTTGACTAGGGACGGCGATGATGGTGGTGGTGGTGGTCGCGCTGCGAAGGGCAGGTGCAACTGCACCTTCCACTGGTGCTGTCATGTCAGCTGCTCCGCTTGTGCGCGACACCAGCAGCAGCAGCGTTGGCGTCGTCGCAGACGCACGGAGGTCCACACCTGTAAGTAGGTGGTGCCGCCACGGTGGGGAGAGAGCAGGGGAGAGCGTGAGCTGTGATGATGGTGGTGGTGATTATGGCGGTGGTGAAGGTTGTTGTGATGGTGCTGATGATGATGGGTAATTTATGACAGTGATGGTGAAGATGATGGAAATCACAGTGGCTGGTGACATTGGTAATGATGATGGCAGTGGTGTTGGTTGAGATTAAAACGATGATCGGCAATTGATGGTTATGATGACGCTGGTAGTGATGATAAAAGATTTTGGTCGTTGTAATAGTGGTGGTGATGATGATGATGAAAGTGATGGATATTGGGATGGTCTTATGTGATCATAGTGGTGGTGGTGGTGCTAATGACGAGAAGATCATAGTGGTGATGGTCAAGTTAGTGATGATGGTAACAATGATAATTGTGTTGGCGATGAAGGTTGTGGTATTACAGCTGCTGCTGCTGTTGATGATGATAAGTACGGTTGCAAGATAATGTGAGAGTGGAGTTAACGCACGTGCAGCACATTTGGGATTGGATATCAGTGGCGAGGCAATAGCTAAAGACGCAAGCCAACCGACAGCTCTGTAGCTGCACTGTGTCCTGTGCTGACCCACACGAAGCTTTGTCAATAAATAAAAAATACCCCATAAAGTTTCATTAATGCTAATAGATATAATATAAAATGTGATTGGAGTGCAATATCATTCTGTACTCTGGGTAATAAATAATGGATATTCACAGGACCGTTTGTCATTCTTGGTTATTTGACGTCGTCGGCAGGACACCTCAGCTCCACATCTTCCTGTCCCACATTAACCAACTTCTTCTCTAGCCCGTACCACTCACTCATCCGCTCACACATCAGCCCGTCTCTTCTTTTGCCCATGCCGCATCCGTTTAGCTCCTTCTATCCGGCCAAACAGAAGCTGCTTGGGCAAGCGGTGGCTAGGCATGCGGGCCAAATGACCGAGTCAAATGCAGCCTCTCCTGCCGGAGGAGCTCACTGAATGTTTCCGTATCCAAATCTCTCAAGAATCTGTGAGCTCACACAATCCAGTCTGGCTAACCCTGGGATGGATCATGGGCAGAGCAGCCTGAATGTTTCAAACCTGTGCAAGTGCCTTTGATGTGTCTGTGAGGTGGTGTGTAAAAAAATTGGGTCCACGTTTCGCAAGCGTAGTGAAGAGGGCATACCCGTGGCAGAGAAGACCCGGTGCTTCATGTGCCGATGAAAAGATAATGGCCAGTCAAGTGATTCAAAGTGAAACCACCGCTGCCAAACCGGAGCTGGTCATAAGCACACTGCCCACGGTATGGGAATTCCTCCACTCTCTCCACAACTGGCCCATTACTCATGAAAAGGTTGAGGGGGTGCAGTGATTGATGACACCACCTACACAGGCGGTGGCTTTGTTTGGGTTGGGGCTGATGGTAAGGGCCCCACCTCTTCGTGGCACGCTCCGTGTCAGGCGCAAAGAGTTTGCAACTCCTTCAGAGCGAGCGGCAATTCCCAGATCAACCGCATACGTAACACGGTTCGCCAGTCGTGAGCCATCTCGACACATGCACACAATTGTACTACTGCTGTATATGTGAGGAGCTCCCAGCTGCTACCACGCTGCTGCACTCGGTAGGGTTCAGGGCGATGCAGCAGTCGAGGTAATTGATTGGTGGTCCAGCGCGCACCGATTCACTGCACTCACACACTCACCCACTCACCCAATCAGGGTGATTGATTAATGATCCAGCATTCACCGATTAACTGCACTAGCTCGCTCACTTACACACTCACTCATCCACTCACTTATCCACTCACTCATCCACTCGCCCAATTAGGGTGATTGATTAATGATCCAACACTCACCGATTTACTGCACTAGCTTGCTCAATCACACACTCACTCACTCACCCACTCACTCACCCACTCACTCACCCACTCACTCACGCACTCATTTGCCTACTCACTCACCCACTCACCCAATCAGGGTGATTGATTAATGATCCAACACTCACCGATTCACTGCACTAGCTTGCTCACTCACACACTCACTCACACACTCACTCACTCACCCACTCACTCACCCACTCACTCACGCACTCATTTGCCTACTCACTCACCCACTCACCCAATCAGGGTGATTGATTAATGATCCAACGCTCACCGATTCACCACACCCAGCCGCCTTTTGTCTCCCCAATGACGATGTTTTTTGCACACCGCACCAGGTACTCATTTGAGGCTGAGTCGACCTAGGGGAGGCCCCATGACCGATTCAGATAATCGCCTCCGGTGTTGGCCGTGAGCGGGAATCGAACTCGGGTCGCCGGGTTCGTAGCGCAGCGCGCTACACGCTACCCTACCGCTTACCCGCCATACAAGACAAAGACAAAGATCCCCCGTGTAGCCTGCACAGACTGTTGGGGCAAGTGCTGTTAGCGAGCACCTATAAAGGCCGCAACGATGCACGCCACACACACAGCCACACACACGCACTGCTCCACGGCAATCGTGAGCAACAGACAAGGGAGCGGTGGTATGTGGCTACTAAAATCCTTCCCGGAGCAGAGTTTCCTGGACAGTTTCGGCCGGGGATTAAACGCCGCTGTTGGAGGCCAACAACCGCCATCAACGGCCTGTTGTGGGTAGGGACTCGGGCTCGCCATACGAACGTGGAATTCTCATCACTGGCCCGTGCGCTAAACGGGATGTTACGCGCTCGATTGAGCAAGAAGAGAGACAGCGAGTCTTAAACAAAAACATCTTTTCATCATCGGGGACGACGTCATCGCCACCATGATTTAATACAGGGTGGCACAAAAGTCAGAACACACGGGGTTATTTAATTTAAATTTCGATTTAAATGGTGGTTTGGCTGCTGCAGCTCCTTACTATTAAAATTACTTCCCTTTATTTCTGCTAACCCTACTCCCTCCCTTTGTTGCTGCTAATCCTACATAATGCACGGGCATAATATGACTTTGAGACCCCCCCACCTCCTACGCATTCCACAAGTAGTGACTAATCCCATATCTGCATTTTCCATAAATATGCTAAATACCTCTGTTGATATGCAAATTTCTTTGTCAAGGCGCCCTTCCCGCCTCTAGCCCAGCTTAAATATACGCTGCCAAGCTTGGTGGTGTTCATTCGGACGCTGTCTTTCCGACAGACCTGTTCTTCACCTGAGGACGGCTGCTTGCGTTGTGGCCGAAACGTCGTGAGAATTGTATTTTATTATGTTTTATTTTTATTATTTTATTATTTCCCTTATACGTGACTTTACCGACAGAACGAAGAATGTTATTTCATTTACTTTAACAGTGGCATGAATTTTTTTTTACTGTCTCTGCTTTAAGTTAATATGTATGTATATGTTATCGTTATTCATATCGCTTCCAATGGGGGTCACCTCAAATGCGTAGTTTTTCAAACTCGAGCGAGAGCCACTGAAATGAATTTCGACATCAAAACATAATCGATGAATGTTTTAAATATTTAACCGTGTAGTCTTGACAACAACAAAAACAAAAAACAGTTCAAAAGCAATTTCAAAAGTAACTTCATTAAATACTGTAGCTTAATGCGATGTGTTAAAATAAGTATACTATCATAACCCTGACTTTTGGGCCAGCCTGCATATGCAATGTAAAAACTATTTTTTATTTTACCAGGTAAGCACCATTGAACTATAAAGCTCTTTTTCGCAGCAAACTCGGCACAAATTATCGCCTAATCAAGTGGCTTTTCACGTGGTCGTTTATCGCGGTCAAACACTCCGAGCGCACGTTTCTCAAAGTGGAGGGGAAAACCGGAGGACCCGGGAAAAAGTTCCACGCGACCACGTGGAGAGAGACCGGCAAACTCCAAATATACAGCAGCAGCAGGCGTCAGGCTCGGGATCGAACCCACGACCTCCTGCACACCAGGCGAGGTAGCTAACATCTCCTAGCCACCGTGGTGATGATGATGAGAGAGAGACACGCAAACTCCAAATATACAACAGCAGGCGTCAGGCTCGGGATCGAACCCACGACCTCCTGCACACCAGGCGAGGTAGCTAACATATCCTAGCCACCGTGGTGATGATGATGATGAGAGAGAGACACGCAAACTCCAAATATACAACAGCAGGCGTCAGGCTCGGGATCGAACCCACGACCTCCTGCACACCAGGCGAGGTAGTTAACATCTCCTAGCCACCGTGATGATGATGAGAGAGAGAGAGACACGCAAACTCCAAATATACAACAGCAGGCGTCAGGCTCGGGATCGAACCCACGACCTCCTGCACACCAGGCGAGGTAGCTAACATCTCCTAGCCGCCGTGATGATGATGAGAAAAAGAGACACGCAAACTCCAAATAGACAACAGCAGGCGTCAGGCTCGGGGTCGAACCCACGACATCCTGTATACCTGGCGAGGTAGTTAACATGTCCTAGCCACCGTGATGATGATGAGAGAGAGAGAGACACGCAAACTCCAAATAGACAACAGCAGGCTTCAGGCTCGGGATTGAACCCACGACCTCCTGCATACCAGGCGAGGTAGCTAACATCTCCTAGCCACCGTGATTATGATGAGAGAGAGAGACACGCAAACTCCAAATATACAACAGCAGGCGTCAGGCTCGGGATCGAACCCACGACCTCCTGCACACCAGACGAGGTAGCTAACATATCCTAGCCACCGTGGTGATGATGATGATGAGAGAGAGACACGCAAACTCCAAATATACAACAGCAGGCGTCAGGCTCGGGATCGAACCCACGACCTCCTGCACACCAGGCGAGGTAGTTAACATCTCCTAGCCACCGTGATGATGATGAGAGAGAGAGAGACACGCAAACTCCAAATATACAACAGCAGGCGTCAGGCTCGGGATCGAACCCACGACCTCCTGCACACCAGGCGAGGTAGCTAACATCTCCTAGCCGCCGTGATGATGATGAGAAAGAGAGACACGCAAACTCCAAATAGACAACAGCAGGCGTCAGGCTCGGGGTCGAACCCACGACATCCTGTATACCTGGCGAGGTAGTTAACATCTCCTAGCCACCGTGATGATGATGAGAGAGAGAGAGACACGCAAACTCAAAATAGACAACAGCAGGCTTCCGGCTCGGGATTGAACCCACGACCTCCTGCATACCAGGCGAGGTAGCTAACATCTCCTAGCCACCGTGATTATGATGAGAGAGAGAGACACGCAAACTCCAAATATACAACAGCAGGCGTCAGGCTCGGGATCGAACCCACGACCTCCTGCACACCAGGCGAGGTAGCTCACATCTCCTAGCCACCGTGATGATGAGAGAGAGAGAGACACGCAAACTCCAAATATACAACAGCAGGCGTCAGGCTCGGGATCGAACTCACAGACCTCCTGTACACCAGGCGAGGTAGCTAACATCTCCTAGCCACCGTGATGATGATGAGAGAGAGAGACACGCAAACTCCAAATAGACAACAGCAGGCTTCAGGCTCGGGATCGAACCCACGACCTCCTGCACACCAGGCGAGGTAGCTAACATCTCCTAGCCACCGTGGCTCATACACTACACACAGTGCCTGTGACGCATTTCTACCCGAAACTTTCCAGCGGATTTCACGACACACCCCCCGCCCCCCCTGCTTTCT